CCCTATACCCCCTCTATACCACCCATATACTCCCACATCCCCAAAAGTTTCTCAGCGGATTTGGGCTGTACTCAGCAACTGCAGTACAGCCCCCAAATCAGATTTGAAAAAAAATCAGTGGATGGTCGTTTTCTGACTGGTCGGCGGACCGCCGAACGGTCGGCCCCGATCGGTCGGGGCAAAACGGTCGGGAGTCGGGGTCGGCGGTCGGCGCCGGTGCAACCCTGATGGGGGCTTTATTTCTGGTTTGAGATACCTGTTGCAACTGTTTATTCCAGCTCTCGTAGAAAACCTTGAACCCTCTTCTCTCTACGCCAGCCTGCAGCAATCAGAAAACAAGAGAACAGTTGAAGGGGGAATCCCTAGCTATTGCGTCCATCTGCAGCAACAACACACTTTCCTACAGGAATGCTTACTTTTCTAAAGTCTTGGTGACGAGGGATCCCCTCGCATTATTGTACCTGTTTGATTCCATAATGACTCACACTCACGACCTGTTCATTAACTACAGTTAGCTCCATGTGTATAGCATTGCAATGACTTGCTGCTTCTGCTGCCGGGGGCCCGTCGATTCGAGGCTGTAACATAAGCAGGCCAGATTCGTAATTTTGTTTGGCTGAGGGCTAACCGAGATATCTGACTGCGAACAAAATTTGTGAGCAACATATCTGTAAATTTGGGAAAATTTGAGGCCCGCACTAACCCGAATTTCCTACAGCCACCCTAACTGCAAATAGAAGGCCCGGGCTACCACTAGGAAGGACAGTCCCTAAGGCCTACACTGTTAGACGGTCCTATAGCCTAGAGCCAGGTAGGGAGAGGCCCGAGAGGCCAAAACTGAAATGGTACCGGTCGGTCCAATCATTCCAGTCTAGGTTGAGTCTAGGCTAGGGTAGAGCTATTAATGGAGTGTTGAAGACTGTTCGAGGCTTTTGGCAGTTGGGTCATTTCTCGTGGTTGTTGTTGCAGGCGAGAGACCGTTCACTGCTACTACGCGTGGGAGCACGCGAGAGACGTTGGCCATAGCCTGACCCTTGGAGAGATAGCTATAGCTGGGGCTCCTCTATCCTCCTGCGGCACGTTGGGGCTGTCAGGAGATCAGGGCTATCTGGAGGAGGTCTGCTGGAAGCTCCGAAGTGGTGGGCTGTAGCCATAGCTGCAGTGGTAGTTCTCAGAGGTCGTCTTCTTCATCAGGAAGAGTGGCGCAGTTGTTGATCTTCATCTAGAAGGTCGCCTGACGCTCCATCTTCATCAGACACTGTGGCGCTGGTCTTCTTCTTCATCTGTTGGGTGGCGCTGTTCCTCAGGAGGCAGCTCTGAGTGGCTATTGATGTTACTGGACTCTGGGGAAGTAGTGGTGACTAACCCAGTAGAGGGAAGGGAAGCGCTGCTCCTTCAGAGCAGCGCCATACTGATCTAAGACAATTATTGATGTGATGAGACTCTGATATTTGGTAAATTACTATTTCAGTGTTCATTGTATCTCTAGATGTGATCTACTCGGTGGTTCTTTTGTGATTGGTTGTGAGGAGACTCTGAGGGGTAATCGCACTGTCAGTGTGATAATCTATGTTGCATGGACAAGTCTTCTGCTGCGCATATTGCTTTTGTGTGATGTGATCTCCCTCTTCCTCTCCCCTCTCTCCTGTGTGTGTATGGGCGTGCATGGGAGAATCTGTGTGAGAGTTGGCAAATGGCTGACAAACCACCAAGTTCATAACAGCATTCAGCCACAAACTGCTGACAACTTCCAATTGACTGGTCACTGATGGCCAATAATGGCACTCTTCAACAAGAGAAAATGCCCTGCTGATGTGTAAGATTTCCAATGGCACAGCGGGGACTCACAGTGGGCCCCTTGGCGAGGGCGGGAAACAAAGCGTGGCTGGGGCACGTCATGACGACGGTTTCGATGTGAGGACGAGAGCATGGGGTGAGCGGACAATAGGTGGACGATGAGATGGGAGAGGGATTGCGGGGCGTGGTGGAGCGGGCTAGTTGCTGCCAGACGTTGCTGAATAGTCTTCTGTTTTCTGTCGGTCATGTGCTTGTTTGCTTGAGAGGAGGAACACGGTTGCTTGAGAGGAAGAACACAGGGGCTGCTTGTCTCATATCATGCGTTCATTGGAGAGCAGGAATACCGTGACGGGGAGTAAGGGGAGGTAGGCAGGGTGGTAGGGAGAACGTTGTGTCTTTATGGTGCCGGTGGGAGAGTATTGCGAGGAGCGAAACGTGGGAGCAAGGACGTTGAAGACAGGTCCTATTGGCGGGCGATGTCTGCGACGATGACACCCCTCCATCTCTTTGGGCTACCTGCGAGGGGCAGCTGGTAGGCTCAGTTGTTTTAGTCTCGTGACGTGGGTCGGATTCAACGGATTGTTGTGATGGTAATCCTAGCTGTGGTCCTGTTATCTTCATCATTCGTTCCTTTTGCAATGGTTGAACAGTGCTGTTGCCCACAGGTGGCCGAGTTGCTTGAGAGCCGATAAAGGAGGAGGTGAGGTTTGGAGGAGAGGGGGGGGGTGCAGTGACTGGCCATTGCTCGGCGCCAGCACCGCCGATTTCCACCATCGCTAATGCCTGCCCACCCCTCGTCACCGTGATGAGGGACTGGTACAGCCTTGCTCTCGCACCACAGCTGTGTGTGTGCGTGTGTAGTTGTTTGGGTGTGTGTGTGTTTGTGTGTGAGAGAGAGAGAGACAGGTGGCCGAGTTGCTTGAGAGCCGATAAAGGGGGGGGGGGAGCCGGGGGGGGGGGGGGGGGGGGGGGGGGGGGGGGGGGGGGCGTTTAGGGATGGTCAAGGGTAAGTTTGTGTTCTTCCTCTTTAGGGTTTGTCATGATGATCCTGAGATAGTAGTAATATTCCCAGATTGCGTTGTCTTATCAAATACCTATCATTTGTCTTTCCAGTCTTGAATTGTAGATAAGTATCTAAATGCCCGTGAGAGAGTTCTCTCAAATTTCCGAAAGTCTTTGAGATTTGCCAATTCCGAAATCTCACACACGTTCCTGATAGGATTAGAATACTAGTCTTGTCATCTTGACGTTCGAAATCGGGATTTAATTCTGAGATCTAATCTGTTTGTCAGACTTTGTCTATGTTTTAATTTCGAAATTTTGAAATTTCATACACGTGTCTGATTTGATGCTAAAAATTCAAGAGGTAGGTGCTCTTGATTTTGAAACATTAGCTACGGTGTGTCTTGATCTAATCTCTGATTCTCTGATCTTGATTTGAAATTGAAACCCTTTTGAGGGCGTTTTTTCTTTTTTCTTTTTTTTTTTCTTTTTTTTTTCCCTCCCTTTTGAGGGCGTGCATGTTGAAATTACGGATTGATGGTAGGAGGAGTCTAAAACCCGATCTTCAACACTGAAATTACGACGCTAGTTGGTGCCGGGGTTTGGTCGTGCTGCCCTGTAACTCGAGCTTTTTTAGGGTAGACGTGGAGGGAGTTCGGTATCTACGGCTGCCATGGGGATTACTGGCGGTCGCCTGATGTCTGCCGACGCTTTTGATCCCAGTGCCTCACGACAGGATGTGGTCAGAATGACGCCACTTGGTGCCGGGGTTTGGTTGTGCTGCCCTGTAACTCGAGCTGTACGAGGGTAGGCGTGGAGGGGGTTTTGTTTACGACTGCCATCGGGATGACTAGGGGTCAGCTTGATTTCTGCCAACGTTTGCCAATGCTTCTGTAATGATGTCATCTGGTGCCAGGGCTTGGTCGCGCTGCCCTGTAACTTGAGTGGTACGAGGGTAGGCGTGGATATTTAAACCAAGGATGTAAACAAATTAACGAAGACCAAGACAAATACGAATTATCAAGGCAAGGACAAAAATGAGTCACAATAGTTGCCAACTCGGAATAGCCGCACAGCAAAAGAGCTCTGCCACTCTGTTGTATCTGACATGGCAGTGAACTTAAGTTTTACAAAAAGAAACCTCCACAGTCCACTACAGATGAGTTACCAAAGCCACCGATGAACATGGATCTTCAGAGAGAGAGAGAGAGAGAGAGAGAGAGAGGGGGGG